GCAATTATTCTTACATCCATCCGCTCTACATGCTCTGACCACCTCAACATTCCTTTCTCTATTCTAGACATTACATCATCTTTCAAGCCACATCTTTAAAAAAAAAAAATTTGTTGTAAATGGAGTCTCAATTTGCCTTTCTATTAAATCGATTCACTTGGATATAGCATTAATATAAATCTGATACAAAAAATCGTTACATCGTAAGCACTTGAATTGATCTTTATAAACATCGAATCGTGAAGTCCTTAGCAGTGAGAATCCACAGGATTGTAAGGTGGGTGTTATGTGGAGTTGCTCTTTTTTCGCCTAAAAATATTTTATTCGCAATTTGTAATAAGTATGGAATTATACAAAATTTCCCACTTTTCTGCCCATGGGCAGAAATGGGTGACCCACTGCACATCTCTGCTAGTAAGAAATTAAATTAATGATGTTGCAATTGATTTTATCAAGAACCTTAATACGCACACGTGATATTAGATCTTAATATTTAACATACAGGGTGCTGAAAGAATTAATACATGTGAACTGTCTGTCGACGCGAACTAGTTGAAATTTGTTTTTTTTACTCAATTTTTTCTTGTTGTTTACTTTGTGTTTGTAATTTAGTATACGTATTTTAAATTTTATTTATAAACAGAAATAATCTCAGTATAGAGTACTAAAAACCGACCTCGAAAGTACGTGGAATTACATATAACTACCGAGTTTTATTGAAATCGGTTATCGGATAGTGCGCAAACCCGGATTCGTCCCCTAGTTCGCCACTATACGGGACTTGACACAGGAGGTAATGAAAATCGGTTCTCACTCATTGCACTACTCAAAGTATATTGAGAGAGAAAAAGTCTTGAATTGGAGAATAGCAAAATCAAATATTAAAATAATTCCTCCTTATAATAAAATTTAGGCGCTATTTATAAAAATAAATCTTCATGCGTGAATAATCACCCTTAGAGGTGGATGATTTTCTTCAAAATTAAATAGGACCACTATTGAGATACCCTCTTTCCAACAAAAAAAGAATCCTGAAAATCGGTTCACAAATACCGGAGTTATCGCGTAACGTACATACAAAAAAAACATTCTCTTAAATATCGATTAGTGTATACCTACATAACATGCATTGAGTGAGCATGATGGTAATTTTCAGGGCGGCACGCAGCTGGGGCAGCCGCACAAGATCGAGCGGCTCGGGACCACGTTCGTCCCCTTTCAGATGTTCCTGGACTACATCCAGGCCCTCGCCACTACTACATTCACGTGAGTAATAAAATGACATTAGTTACCTTTGCAGTCTTCATAGAAATAATCCAAATTACAAGATTACCAACGGCACTTGCGTCGCAACAATTTCATAAAATAAAGTACTATTTAGAAATATATGTAAAAAAATCAAACGACTCCGAAAATGTTAAATGTCTAACGTGCATTTGAATAATAATACAGAAGAGTTTATTTTAATTTTTGATTTAAAGTATTTATTTAAGAAAAAAATTTAGAAATAGGAAATGAAACAATTTTTTCGGATTTAAATCGCACATTTTTTCACTATAGTTTTAATTACTTGGAAATCGCTCTCCTGATTTCAAATTAATTTTAGACGTTTTACCTTTCCAGCGTTGAAATTATTTATAAAGCGCGCACCGCACTCTCATAGCCCCAGCTAGGGAAACCCTGTATCGCGGGTGTCATGGAGAAACACATAGACAACCACAAATTACACTCAAAACACACGAGAGAAATAAATGTAGGCCATACAGTTTTTCCTCGGGCCCGGGAAAGTCAAAGTCAAAGTCAAAGATTATTTATTCCATAGGTAAAATAAATTTACACTTGAAAACGTCACATTTAAGCTACATTTAAGCTACTGCTCGTTCACTACGCTGACCTCCCTGAGAAGAACGAGCAAGAAACTCTAGGGATTGCTCTTTTCAATAAACTTAAATGCTATGGAATACACTTTGAATCAAATTTGTGTGGATTCTGGAGCCATGTCGTCTTTCCATACATCTTTATCTAACACGTAGTCTTCAATTTTGTAATATGATTTTTCGATCAAAATATTTTAAGGGAAGCCCGGGACCTCTGCGTGGCAGTCCAGCATCGTAACCGTTCGGTCAGAGGCAGTTAAATTATTTATGTATAGGGTTAAAATAAGAGTAAATTCATATTTTTATTTTTATTGAATGTGATATTTGTAGACAACAGACGCATGTTTATATCAATAAGAAGACTGAATTCTATTTAACATTGATATTACTTTTTTGTCAATGTCTTAAATATATTGTTTTAAAATTTATTCACTTTACTATTTAGGGTGCGGTAACACACATTTGTTTATGCTTTATTTACAATAACTTTGTGAGCTATTTGTCCGGTCGTTGTTATATGTTGTGGTAAAAATAGGAACGCCTTTAACGATAGCTAAGTAAGTCTAAGGGGACTCGAATGCACGCACTGAACGCGGCGGGGTGTTGCAGGGGCGCGGAATACCGGCTTCTAGAGCACAACTGCAACCACTTCAGCGACGAGGTGGCGCAGTTCCTGTGCGGCGCACGCGTGCCGAAGCACATCTTGCAGCAGCCGGAAGCGCTGCCGCCGCCGCTGCGGCAGGCCTTGACCGCGCTGCTCGACAACCTCACGCCGCACGCCGACCAGGTGCCCACACGGCCCACTGCCCGCCGCCGCGACTGGGGTCTACTCTCGTTCTTTGTCCGTCATTGGTCCAAAACAATTACTATACTTTGATTGAAACTCACGATTTTCACCCATTATTTGATTTTTAGTTCGGGACTTAACTCACTCAACCCTAGTTTACAAATAAATAACGAAGACCAAGTCGCACCTTTACAATGAAAGAGACTCAACACAAAATTTCAACTTTTTGGGAATAAGTAAAATGAAATTGGATAAATAGGTTGTGACACTTTCATAATGTTAAATGTATTACTATTGAAGTACTAAAGTTTGTGCCTTGTTAGTCTTGGAAAATAATGAGGAAAGCATTTAGCTTTACAACTGCAAAAATTGTTTTTGATTATTTTAATATTTAACAATTTAAAATAATTTACAAAAAGCTGGTCGCCATACGGTCACTTTTTTACTGAACTTGTTTGTTATCATTTGACGTAGTAAGAATTAAGTCTCTTTAATTTTAACTAACTAAGCGTTTTAATTGTGACAGAAACTCCTCAAGTAATAAAGTAAGTCGCGTTTGTAAAAATTAAATAATTTTTAATGACGACTTACGGAACGAGAATGGTACAATAGCTAATCCGTCACTTTTTCGCCAACAGTGACGGCGTGTTGTCTTTGTAAGTGCAGATTCAACACTAAGGACGCGTTCAAACTGGCCGCTGTTAGAAGCGCTGCTGAAGTGCGACCAAATATTTTGTGATGTTTTTTTGTTTCTTTCGACTCAGTTACGCGATGGATTCTGACGAAGAAACATTACTTTTACCTAGTTCTTGGGGCACACACTTCACGTATAGGTATTAAAAATTACTCACCTGCTATGTTTTTTTCAGTTTCAAAATTGTCCCTAAATTTTAGACATAAATTTTCCCGTGCCTTTTTTTATCCAGTCGATTGGAATAACTGGGGGAACTGCTGTCCCATATTGCAGGGTGTTATTTTACATTCTCTATAAATTCTTCAATTCGATTTTCATCCAACGTGGTTAATTTGAAAAATTAACATGTACACGTCACTAACCGTGACTACAATCGAGCGTGGCTGCAGCGGGACTGTCACACGGCGGCCGCGCGAGTGCAGCGCGGTTCCAGTGCTGCTGCAGCGCGTGTAACAGCGGCTAATTTGAACGCGCCCTTAATGCAGCATTGATTTTCCGACGCCGGAGTGCCATTTTCAAACTGAAAGAACAAAATGAAAGAGACCCACATAGTGAATCAGTGGTCAGTCAGTTTCAGATTAACAACATTGTGAACAATGATTTTTAAAGTCGTTTTACGTATAAACAAATTTTATTCATTTTTTGAATTGGGTCATTTTTCTGGGTAAGGTGCGATGTGCAGGTAGTTAGAAAAATTCGTACGACTAGAAGATGTTGATACCCGCCTCTTCAGTCCCTTCGAGACCATGGGTCTTGCTATACGTTCGAAACGTCAAGGTAATTAAAATTACGGTTTATACTATGTCCCAAACTAAAAATCAAATAACGAAACAATCATTGTCAAATAAGTAATACTCGACTAAATTATCAGACGTCGAACGAGAGTACAGGGCCAGCCCTCTCTCTCACCACGGCCTGTAAAGACTTAGCTCCTTGTGTCTCGCAAATTCTTGCAAATCGTACATCTGATTGTTAATGAAAAAGTGCACTAGACTATAGATTCCTCCACCCTGCGATAAGTTTATATTGAAACGGAGTACTGGGAGATGCTCTGAAACTAGAGGTGGGCTAGCACCCGGGGTTTAAATTGGGTTAATACCCTTTAATGCCCGAAATCGTGGGCAAAATCTATTTACAACTAAGTATTTGTTGTAAATCGAGTTTTGTTCAAATTCAATGATATTACAAAATGTTTATTGTTTTCTGATCTAGACTATTCGATTTGCTTTTCTATTCAATCGATTCACTTGAAAATCGCATTGAAATAAACCAGTACAAAAAATCTTTATATCGTATGCACTTCAGTAAATTTTCATTAAAAACGAATCGTAATGTGTGTCCTCATTAGTGAGATTCGTCGTATTCGTCATTTCCGCCCCCGATTTCACGCAGAAATGGGTTAAAATCGAGTGCATTGGGTTTTAACTCACTGCCCATCTCTGCTTAAAACTGCTAACATACGCAAGGAGCTCTTAAGGGGTCATATAAGTCAATAGTTTGTACATATGACTCATAAATCCGTGTACATATGACTCATAAATCCGTAATGAATCTGGCCTGGAATCAGATTCTTTCGTTAGTCGTGCTTTTTTCCTTTTTAAAAAGTTCATACCTTTATAGCACTAGTTTACGTAGCTTACAATTTCGACGAAATTAAATTATGTATAGATTTTTAAGACTTGCGTTTTTTCGCTAAATGATATTTCGGAAAGAAATTATTTAAACCGACACTTACACTTACACCGTTCTGAAAAATCGGGATAATGAAAAACCACACCGTGGTAACAACCTATAAATTGAAGTCATTAAATGAATTTTTTTAGATCTACATCGCAAGTATCTATTTTTTCAAACAAACCAACGTTGTACCGGTACCTTGGACAAGACCTGTAAAGAGCCCTGAACGTTGGTTAGTTTAAAAAAACAAAAATATTCGTGATTTATAATAATCGCGGAAACCTAAAATTTCGACATTTATATTCTTTTTTGAAGACGGAGTAAAATGACATTTGCAGGGTTGCCACTTTTCATAAAATATGAAATAGTCATGTTGTTGTTGTCGACAGTTTTATCGATAGATTGTGAAAGAAGGTATAATTTTGCCAAAAAATGTGAATTGTGAATGTTACGACGTTCTAATGATTACTAATTACGTCATTGCCTTTTTATCCCTATTTTGACTGTTAGTTTATTATATCGAAAATGATTTTTATTCATATACATTTTAATAGGGACAAGCGAATTTGATTATCTATATTGATTTAAAATGAAGGATGTTAAGATATATCTCCTTTTTGTATTTTTAATGGACAGTTCTAAATGCAGTGTATGTATGTATGAACTTGTAAAAATTGACAATTCAAATGAACCTTTGCCCAGAAATTGGACGAATAATGGGCCGGTGATGATAAGCATAATCAACAATCGACTACCGATTGAATATTTATCGACTGCAATCTCTAGCTGCTTGCAAGCGGGCAAACTTTTGGCGCAATGTACTGTCTTTTACTCCATGTTTATTATTACGTATTACTATGTCGCATCATAGAATGTTAAATCGAACTATATAAAGTAACTTTTTTTCGTCAAAATTGTAAGTATGCGTGTATTGGTAAACTTCGCTGTCGTCAACTTAAGAACGGTGTGTCTAGTGTCGAAAGCGAGAAGGCAGTGGTGGAGAGTGAGCGGCGGGTGTGTCCGCGGGGTGGCAGCGGCAAGAGGCGGTTCGCGGCGGGGGGCACTGACGCGCGTGAGTACCGCCCTGCCGCGGACGCACCCGAAGTACCACTCCACGCATCACACTCGCATTACATATCGATAGATAATACATAAACGTCCAAACAGTTTATGATCTCTGCCGGGTAATATCAGAACGTAGATAATTCGATTATGAAAATTTAAAACATCGTAGGGGAAAATGACCTCACGACAAAATGCCTCTTAGGACATTTCAAATTTCCGCCGTCGATATAAGGGTAATAATTTCCACCGTCGAATTATGACGGAATTTTTATTTTATTAAATATCATGACGTTTGTTACAAACATTTAATATAATAAAAATGAAACTGGAACAAAAGTTGTTGTTTATGATGTTATTAACATAGTCCTGCGAGGTTGTTAGCATTTTACAAATAACCCCAGGGCTGGGCAGTATTTGAATTACTTGTATTTGAAATACGTATTTAAAATACAAATACGTATTTTGTATTTGTATTTCAATTACTCCCTAAAAATGTATTTTGTAATTGGTATTTCAAATACCTGACCGTAATGTATTTTGTAATTTGTATTTCAAATACTTTCGTTGTAAAATACATTTCAACAAAATACTTTTTTCTTTTCAATGTACAGCCTATTGTGTGACGTGCATAGATTTATATCAGTGTTGGGCATTAATCAATTATAGATTTTAAGACTTTCGTGGTTATTCACTAAATGATTATCACTAGTATCAGGTTTCTTACCACGGTATGACTTCTTTTTATTTTCCCGATATTTCGGAACGGTTGCACGCTCCATGGTCACGGGTTGACTGGACGGCGGCAGATGACAGCTTTATGAGCAGACATATCTGTCTACCCTCTTGCGCTGTCGACGACTACCTTCATCGCGATTTGTTGTGGCATCATTTAGCGAATAACCACGAAAGTCTTAAAATCTATATAGCAAACCGGTACGGGCCGGAATGTGTAAAAACAATACGTCAACTAGAACGTGCGCGAAAAAAGCGGGAGTGTCTACGGGAGTCTATTGTTTTCTTAACTAAGTGCCGGGACAATAATGTTATACCAGTATGTGTTAATATTAGGCCACGGAAAGACATTTACGGCTCCGCGCACATTCTGTATAAAGCGAGCATTAAACTGCTTCATCGTTTGATACGTAACAACCGTTACATGTTTGAAAAAGTGTCGTGTGAGTTATATCTGTTACATCTGGAATGCAGTGTTCGGTTAAGTAAAAATGATTTCGAGTTATGTGATCGTGTTACGTTTCTACAAGCGCAGCGTACTGCTGAGCTGTGTGCATTAAATCACGAAAATAAGTTTTCAACTTTGATTCGTAAACAACAACCGGTAAGTAAGTACCATGATAACTCGAAAGGAACTCGAACGGTAATAAACCTGTCTAACAAGGTACTGACTGAACCAGCAATTAACGCCCTGGAAAAAGGATTAAATTTCGCTCCTACCCCAACACGCATTCCAATTGAAAAAGTCATATGTGGTGTTGAAGAAGCCATTGTGTGTAATAGGGTGCCAGCTAGTGATGCTGAAACCTTACGTCAAGACGTGGCTGTAGCCTTGCGACACGCTCGTCTACCACCAAAAATCATGAGTACTCAGGAACTGATGGCTGTAAAAGAACTTAGGGCTGATACAACAATTATAGTACTGAAGGCAGACAAGGGAAACGCCACTGTGATTATGGACGTTGAAGAATACGACCGTAAAATAAAAGCTTTACTGGTGGATGGCATGACATACAAACATGTAACATACAACCCGACTGCCAGAGTGAAACGACAGACTGATGCCATTATT